TTGTGTTTTCTCTTTTGTTTTTCTTGTTCTCTTAAATAAGTACTTTTATTCAGGATGGTAATACCCACTTGTGATCCCAGCCTCCTGGAGATGAGGGCAACACATACATACCATATCATAGTAGAATCGTTTTGGGTTACTCTTTGATAAACTCTCCTTGGGGTGACATCCAAGCCCTCCCCAGTGAGCCATGGGCTGGGTCTCCCCTTCTCTTTGGGGGATGCTTCACTCAGCCCTACAGATCCCAGGACTTTACATCCTTCCCCCCTGCCTCTCTGTCCTCCTGCCCCAAATGACTAAACCTGTCCGTTTTGCATGGTGAGCTCATGCTTCCTTCAGTCTCTAGTCTCCACACGCAGGGCAAGCCCGTCAGAGTCAGCCCTGGTCCTTCTGTTCTTGGTTGAGCTCAGCACCCTACTTTTGCTTCTGGGTTTTATTGATCCTAGCTATTCTTTTATTTGTGTGCCTTTTATGTCCTTTGCTTTCTGTGCTCCCTAAAAGACAGCAAATTCCATGGAGGAAAGATATCACATTATTTTTGTTAGGGTTTGAGAGTTTGCTTTGCCCCAAATATGTATGTTGAAATCTAATCCCCAAGGTAATAGCCTTAGAAAGTAGAATTTAGAAGAGGATTAGATCACCAGGGTGCAGATTTCATGAATGGGATTTGTACCATTATATAGGAATCCTGTGGGAGAGCAAGCCTGCCCCTTCCGTAGTGTGAGGATGCATAGAAGTTTCCACCCATGAGGACCTACATTCTCATGCTCATCTTGTCTCATCCTGCAGACTGTGAGCATACATAACCATTGATTCTGTGTTATCCAGTCTGATGCATTTGTGTTGTAGCAGCCAAAACAGGCAAAGACATCCTTGATCACTACTGAGTCCACAGTGTCTCTTTCTGCTTCTGGACATAGTAGGTATCCAATAAATGAGGTGGAAGTTTCTGGTTTCTTTGAAAACTCATTTTTGTCATGTGATGTTTTGCTGGAGGCTGGCTTGAGAGAGGGCACGTAATCTTTCACGTGAGGGGCATGACTTTGGTCAGCTGAGAACATCAGTGGGTAGACTTTGAGGAGAGGAGATATATAGAGGCCCACCCACAGTGAGGTTTTCACTGCGCTGATCTTTGTGCTTTGACACTTGACTTTGCAGAGAGAAATATTCCAGAGAACTTCTCAGGGCAATCCAACTGAGTCTTGCAGCTTTTGCAGACTTGTGCTGCAAAAGAGAAGCCCTGCTTCTCTGTGCTTACTTCCTGCTGCTTGTTGTTGGCCTTTGGACTGAACTGCCAGTATCCTGATGACTGAGTTTGGTAATTCCATAAAGACCCATAGACCCTAATCATCAGGAAGCAGATAAAAGAGGACTACAGCCCTTTTCCCTACTAATGTCCTATATAAGGGGGAGGATCACTTGGAAGGTAGATAAAGGTCTTTAGGAACCCTAAATAAAGTACGTTTGGTGAAAAATCTAAGCCTACAACTAAATATGGTGGTATGTGTAGGAAAACTGAAGTTAAAGTCCCTTTGAACGTTTTGTGGATTGAGCCCTCTGTTTCCCTCACCCTCTTTTCTCTCTCTCTCCCCCTCTTCATAAGTGTTGGGAATTGGGCCCAGGTTCTTGCATGGTATCTTCCACTGAGAATTGTCCCAGTCTGAACTCCTGCTTCCTGATAAAGAGTTTCTTAACCTTTACCACAAGATGTTGGTATGCCCAGCAAAGGCATACCAAGCCCAGAGGGAATGATCAGAATGAATTGCTGCTGGACTGATGCCAAGTGGATGATACTGAACTTCCTGCTGTGGGGCTTCTGAGGGACAAACAGATGGGGGCATCCTTATATACAGAAAGGCAATAGAGACCCAAAAATACCAGTTATATTAATGGAGAGAAATCTAGCCTGAAGAGGATGGGGGGAAGGGCCCTGCCAGCACAACTATTGGGTAGGAATGACCCTGGGAACCAAATGGCCTTTTCTCTCTTCCAGAGCACAGTCAATCTGTCCCTGTGTCCCTCCTTCCCGGTTGTTTCCATAGACCAGGCCCAGTGAGCTCCTTTCTGTGAGGACAGCAGATGGTAGGTGAATTCCTGAGTGACTACAGCTGTGCCCTTCTCCAGGTAAAACAGCACAGCGGGGAGAGCCCGGAAGTTTCGAATCACACAGGGCTGGCTGCAGTGTCTTCCATGAGCACATCTCTTTCAGAGCTGACTCAGAACGTGACAGCAGCCCTCAGAGCGTGCACGCAGAGGGACACTTAAACGTGCAGACACGTGTAGCAGCTGCCGCCTGCCAACAGCAGCCTCACCCCAGTGGCCCTGCTTCTCTGTGCTTACTTCTACCGTTCGAGAAGAATGAAGCTAGCGTGTAGGCTAGCACATCCAGCTCTCGCCAATTCCTCCCTTGTGGTTTAGAATGCTTGCCTCCAGCACACAGAAGCCAAGGTTATTTGAATAGCAGCTTTTGAATAAAAGCAAATATTCCCTTAGAGAGAGAGAAAAAAAAATCTCAGCAAACATTTCTATTTCCCAAACTGCTCCCTAGACGGTTGTGTTTACCCCACCTTGTTATTGGACTCCAGGAGGGTCTGGAGAGGCAGCTGCTACATGTACCTGTTGTGAGTCTGATTGAAAGGAGAAAGCAAAGCTTTTGGACTGGTGGGGTTTTTGGGTGTCTGTTGTGTATCTACTGCTCTGTCCTCAATTCACAGAGCAGGCTTGAGTTGCAAACATGCCCTTTGAGGCTTCCTTTGCCCCATAAGCTTGCTTTAGACCTCTCTACAGGATTCATAGCTCTGTCTGCAGGCAGGGGCCTCCCCCGTGCCAAGGTGCTGGGGTGTGGCCACTCCCACAGCTTCCTGGCCCGCGCCTATATTTTTATTTTCTGCAATGGCTGTCAGTCAGTCCTCACACCTGAGTGTGTCCAGGTGCACTGGAGGACTGCTTCCTGCTGATGGGGATGCTCTGTGCCCGCTCTCTGCCACATATCTGTTGATTTCCTTCTCTCTGATTACCCTGGGTGGGAGGTGGGTGCTAGGTCAGACATGGGACATGACCGGCACACTGCTGCTCTGTTCGAGCGGGGGCTTCTCATGATACTTCTCAAGCTGAACCGATGCCCTGGCTTACTGTGTTATCTTCACTGGGGGCGGGGGGGGGTCTGAGTGAGGAATATCTCGCTAGCCACGATGTCCATGTGAGATTTTGAAATTGCCAGTTGATGCCCAGTACCGGAGGAGTCCGACTGCCAACTCCCTTGCCAACGACATGCTCAGTGGAAACTGTAGGTCTGCTCTTGAGGAAACCCTTGTTAGCCTTAACTACCACAGCCTCCCTGCCCTTTCCCCAAGGTTCCCCGGTAACAGCCCTTCTATGCCTTGCCTCCAGACTGACAGCCCAGAGACTCCCTAAAGTGGGCATTTTCAAAATTATTCAAAGGAAGAAGACGCTTTAAGGTTACTCATGACTTAGGTAAGGTGGGTTCCGAATATCTAACGTCAAATAAAAGGTGAGGATTATCGGTGGACAGGTGAGCTGTGTGACTGCCCGCTAGTCTCTGTCTTTGCTGCCATCTTGAAGCCTGCTTTCCCCATGGAGACTGAGCCTTGTTACTAGGGCAGTGGTCTCTCCAGGCCTGGTCTGCCCAGCCCAGTACCAGCTGAAAGGCCAAATGCCAATAAATGCAGGTTTGGATGAACAAAAAAGAGAGCAAGTTTGCCCCAACTGGGAATGCACCTGAATGGGAGCTCAGGAGTTCCCTATTTTCAATGAGAAAGAGAAGCTCAAGCTGTTTTGTGAGGATGAAGTTTTAGCAGCGTAACAATGTTCTTTTTCATGAGATTGAAGTCATGCACTCCGGAGGGCCATCTGACAGAGCAGTTTAGGATACTGTTAGAGAACCCAAGGCCAGAGGGTAAGCAGCCCCTCCAGAGAGCCATTCTTTTCCCATGAAATCCCTTTTTCCATGGCTCATTTGTTCTCTGGGAATCAGAGAGGTGTTTTCTAATTTTCCTGCTACAAGAAAGGGGGAATGTCCTCTACCGCACAGCATGGGACTCTGCCAGTCCTGCTGTCAGAGCTCCGTCTGTGCCTGCAGCCTGAGGAGCGGATCCCTAAGGGTGTTTGTGCAGGATGATGGCCCTACTGTGTTTGCATCAGAGTGCCCTGCCTCTCTCATCCGTGGTAACAAAGAGCTCCAGATACCTCCTCCGCAGTGCCCAGTGTCGGGAGAATCAAGTCCAAGAATCCAGGAGGCGTGTCTAGCCACTGCCCCACACATGATAGGTGCCGAGATGTCTCAGGAGTCCATGTGTAACCCTTGCTTTTTGTCATGGATAAAGTTTCTGCTCTGTGTTCTCACTCTACAGGAGTCACAGAGCCTGGGCCAGCTGGAAGGCAGGCCATGGGCTGAGAGGTGTGAATGAAGGTTCCCAGTGGCTATAGATAACAAGCAGGGACATGTTCCCCTGGCAGAGAGGGCCTCTTCTCCATCATCATTAATTGCTTCAGCCAGGATCTCAAAGTAACCAAGAGAATTGGCTTGTGGGCTCCTTGACTATGGAGGAAGCCAGTGGGAGCCATATCTGAAGCAGAGAGGCCTGAGACCAGGACCTTGTGGTCATGTTAGCAGAGCGTAGCAGGTGTCAGATTGGTTGAGGACGTTGGAGGAGAACTGGCAAGAACTTTTCTCCTTCACATTGGGGGAATTTCTACCAGAACATGGAACAAGGATTTTTTTTTTTTCTTCCAGAGAGGAAGGACATGGTAGTTAAGGCAGGAAGTCAGGAAGGAAGTCAGATTTCTCATACTCAAGATGCAGAGATCTCTGGGAATTACTGTTGACCTCTTCTTCCATCCTGCCTCAGTTCTTTGTGGGCCAAGAGGGATGGAATGAGCTCAGAGTCATACAATAAGGACTCTGACTAACATGTTTATATGTAGAAGCCACGACCCATTGAGTCATTGGCCAACATCAGGCATTTAGTAATAAACCCATGTTTTAAATTTATTGGTCAAGAACTTCCAGAGAATGATTTGAGGAATTTTTCTAAACTTTAGTGACACCAATTCTTCATTGAGATGGAGATGTCCTTGGGACATGAAGGGCAGTCCGCTCATATTTAGGTCACCATGATAGAAAGCTGAATGGGGTTATTATCTTACATATCACTCTGGTATGAGGGGATCTTTAGGAGTATATCTACCTCTCTGAGAGCTTCCACAGCTTCTGATTGACACACCGGTGGCCCGGACTCACACAGATCGCTGGTCTCTCCTGGACCATTGGGGGATGTTTCAGAAACACAAATAAGGCAAGTGTGAAGCAGCAGTCAGACCACTGTTTCACCGTTAGACCATCATTCTCTGCTACTTGTTATCCTTACCAACTGGCCTCACTATGGGTCCTCACCTGTGGGCACTAGCTAGTTCTGACCAAGGCAGGACTCATGGCCTGACAAGGAGTAGAACTGGTCCTGCCTGTGCGTGCAAGCCTGAGATCCAGAAAGCCAGGCTGAAAGCCTGTCTCTTGTGACAGCTACTGCATGGCCTGTGTCTTGTGACAGACTGTTGCCCATAGTCTCAGCAGCAGGCTCCCTCCTTGGACTCCTGACTACAGCTTATCTACTGGGTGCTGTGGACCTTCTGATTTGGTATCCTGAGTGGGGATGAAGCCACTCACTTCCCATTCCCTGCTAGACTCGCATCACCATATAAAAGGATGCTTGAGACCATAGCCTGCTCCTTATCACTGTGGGAGCCCCCCCCCCACATACAGCACACACACACACACAAATCATATACACACCACATACATACCCACACCACACACATACACAAATATACAAACACCACATTCATCATATAACACACATACACACAAACACTACATTTAGCATGCACAACACACACACACACACCATTCCCACCCATCCCCTCACCCATTCACCCACCCTCACATACACACACACCACACTCACGGACATGCACATACTACACACACACACACACACACACACACACACACACAAATACACCTCTGTTTAGACCAGTGGTTCTTAGCCTGTGGGTCTGTAGGTTGAGACTCCTTTGGGAGTCCAACAACCCTTTCACAGGAGTCTCCTATCAGACATCCTGCATACCAGATATTTGCATTACAATTCATAACATTAGCAAGAATTATAGTTATGAAGTAGCAACAAGCATAATTTTATGGTTGGGGTCAGCATAACATGAGGAATTGTAAAAAGGTTCACAGCATTAAGAAGATTAAGAACCACTGGCCTAGATCATCTCTGAAGATTCAGTCCAGTTGCCAACTACAAACTTTTCTCTTTGTGGGCAGCTCACAAATGCAACTCCCCATCCCCAGCCATGTCCTTCTCAGCAGCCCAGGGACCTGGGAACCCAGTCTGAGAGAACCCAGTGCTGAGGTCCAGAAGCTGTTCCCTAGGCTACCCTGGCCTCTTGCCTCCCTGTAGATCCCAAGGCAAGTTCTACAGGGCCTGGTAGAAAAGTGCTTCTGTTTTCAAAGGCTGGTTGAAAGCTCTGATCATGGGCATAGAGGTGTTGGAGAATGTGCCAACATATTCCCAAGACCAGGACAGCTTATCATTTTCAACATAACGCTCCACTGATCTGACCATCAGTCTTACAAACTGGAAGAGAATGGTCTCCGAGGCTGTCGAACTCAAGGCCCTTCTATTCTGACTCTTCTTTCCCTGGTTATCCCACCAACCCCCATCCTTCTGTTTCCAAGCCTGGCCTCTAGATCCCACCACTGTGTTGGAGATGTTCTGCAGGAGGGAGGCCAGAGGCATCTCAGTACAAGCCTAAGACTTTGGTCTACCCTTGGCTGGCAGTGAAGATGCCCCTTCTGTTTCATATCCCGCTTTTCTCCAAGGGTCCCCCATGCAACACCTGGGGCAGATGTGTTCTTGTTTGTTAGTTTGTCTCTTGCCTTTTTGAGACAGGGCTCTATAGCCTGCGCTGGCTTCAAATTTGCAATTCTGCCTTAGCCTGCCAAATGCTAGGATTACAGGCATGCCTCAAACACTAGGCTCCGGATGTTTATTTTAAAGTTATGCTTGCTTCCCTTTCCTCTGCCCTCCTTGTGTTTGTACCAATTAGTTCACCTGGCTCTCTGAAATTCATGTTTCCCCAGGACCACAGTACAGGTTCTCTGAAGTTCTTGGGCCAAAGAGTCCTACAAAAAAAAAAAAGCCTATAAAATGTACAACTGCTGGGGTTCTCCTTTGAAGCACAGGGCACAGTATGTCTAGGATTGCCAAGCAGTTGTGAGGATAACATTGTGTGTGCTCCTAGGTACTCAGTGTCCCAGGGTCACTCTAATTAAATCAATTACCCTGTAAGCCGTAATGTGTGCTTAACACAGAAGAGAAAAACACACACAAGGTAGTAACCAGAGGTGAACAAGGGGCCTTGCAAAGAAGTTATTAATCAGTGGGTTTTGGCCTCAGATTAAAAGGCATTGTCCCTGCAGGGCCTCTGTGAACTCATCCCCAGCTGGAGGCCTGAATATCCATGAACAAAATTGCCCTCCCTTCAGTCTGAAGGCCTCAGGGGTGGTGCTGTCAGGCCCTAGAGAAGATTGAGAATCAGGGAGAAAAGTGAGCAGGTGCCAATAGTCAGAGAGAAAAGACTGATGCTACTAGAACTCTCATTGGGAACCCTACCCTGGTGTCAGCCTTAGCTAATGCTCTCAGAGGCCTAGACAAGGCTGCTCGCTCTGAGACCCCGAGGAAGAGGAAATGGGAGGCCTCAATACCCTGTTCCTCTCTGTAGAGCTCTCATGCTCCTGGGGCCTCAGAAAGCTTGCTCAACTAATTGGCCTCTCTGGCCTCTCAGGCTCCTTGGTGTCTGGCAAGAAGGGGCTCTGGGTAAAGCACAGTGTTCACATTGAGCCCCTGGTTGCCCGGGACACATTCAGTCCATTGGGTTCATCCTCTTCATCCTGCTCAGCCTCAGCATCTTTCCCAGCCTCAGCACAACCCCCAAGCAAGGGAGGGCTGGGAAGGTACTGGAGGAGCCGACCATTCCGCTTCATTTCCGCCAACTCCTTGGCACAGCAGCTGGGTGTGTTGGTCTCATAGGTGTCATGGAAAGTGTTGTAGTCAACCTCATAGAAGCCCTTTTCCAAGGTGAGCACAGGTGTGAATCGGTGACCCCAGAGCACCTCTGTATCCATGTAAGAGCTTCGTGCTTGGCAAGTCATGCCTGGGAAAACAAAAGCCACATGCATTAAGAAGCAACCGTTCATTGCTCCATCCATCCATCCATCCATCCATCCATCCATCCATCCATCCATCCACCCACCTACTCATTCATCTCTCCAGTCTTCTATTCATTTGTTCCATCATCCATTCGTTCATGTAACTATTCATTCATTATCTGGCCATCCATCCACTCAACCAAAGCGATCTTCAGCCATTAAATCATGTATCCGTCTATCTCTCTGTGGTGGCTTCAGTGAGAATGACCCTCATGGGCTCATATTTGAGTGTTATGTTCCTAGTTGTTATGCTCTAGCACTATGCCTGCCTAATGCCTGCCTGCTACCATGCTCCCTGCCATGATGGAAATGGACTAATTCTGTAGACACTATAAGCAAGCCCCCAACTAAATGCTTTCTTTTATAAGTTGCCTTGGTCATGGTGTTCCTTCACAGCAATAGAAAAGTAACTTAAGACACCATCCATTCCTTCAATCATCCATCTATCCAATCTTCCATTCCTCTTATCATTTTTCAAGCATCCCTTGAAGTTCCACTTTGTGCCAGGGACCTGGAAGCTAAGGCTGAATATGAGATGGTCCTTGTCATGGAAATGACAAATGAACATGCAAGATTTTGGAATACCTTTCTAGGTGCTAAAGGGGGGAAATAAAATAGTTGGAGACAAGGACATAACTTTTGAAGGCAGCATTTAGGATTAGAAGGCTGAGACTAGAAAGTAGGCAGGAAATGGGTTTGAACAAGATAACTTCAGCGTGAGGAAGCAGAGAGAAGCTGGCAGGTATTCAGAACACAGGGGAATAGTTTTGGGTAGACATAAAAAACAGAATCTTGCATACACCTGGACACATACATACTAGCATACATGGGCATGTCTCCACACACAAACATGCACACATGCCCAGGAAGGGGAGCAAACTAAAAACCCAGCCTGGCGTCTGGATTTGAGGATGTCCCAATGTCCCTAGTCCCTTTTTATGCAGCTCTGCCGCGGCTGTGTTATTTTTAGGTGTTGCTTTCTCTCCAGAGAGGGAGGGCTGTTTTGTTTATGGATGAGGAAGCCTCTGTGCTTTGGGTCACAGAAAAGCAAATTTTTATTTAATCTTATGTCCAAGGAAGGAGAAGGACTAGCTTGTGGTTTGGGGGCTCTGAAGGAGAGCCCTCTCTAGTTCCCACTCTAGGCCTTCTCCATTGCCCACCTAGGCCTCTCCAGTTCTCAATGAAGCCTTTTCTGGGAGAGGAGCCATACAAACCAGAGTGAGGCCAAAAGCTGCTTTCCATTCATGTCCCTGGGTTCCACAAAGCATCCCAGACATGGTGGTCTTATAGCCCACTCTTTGCTCTCAGGGAGATGCTTGCCCCATTCAGGCCTAACAGTTGTATACCCATGCCCATGGAGATAGAAAACAGCCAAGCTGGATGCTGACCTGTCCGGCCTCAGACCCAGTGCCTGCAGGCTCTCAGAGACTCTGAATAGACCCTGGTACCAGACTCCCATAAGAGTGCCTGCAGAGTCCCTTGGGACTCTCCACATTGTTCTTCCTGTTTGTCCTCTAGGGAAATGACACTGGCTATCCTGTGGCCAGAGACCCTGTCTGCTTGCAAGTGTTACCTTTCAATGCACATATCAGCTCTGTGTCTGCCCTGTGGCACTCTATTTGCTCCTTCAGTCTTCCCACCTGCACATGAAACTGATTCTCTTCATTTGTAGAGAAGTCAAGCGACTTGGCCAGACTCACATAGGAAAGGTATGGTAGAGCTATGCTGCTCAAACTAGGCCTGCATTCATGAGTCGGCTGGGTTCCATGAGCATGACAATGAAACTCATGTCATTTGTGAGTAGGTGGTGGTTTCAGTCTCCCTCCTACTTCCAGAGAGACCAGGGATTACCTATCACAGATTATGTCAGCACAGGACTTCCGGGGAAATGTAGGAGGAAGAATGGGCAAACAGGATCTGTATCCACTCTCTCTACTGGGTGGCATGTGGGTACACTCCTGTGGTACAGCTGGTGGCAGTAAGGCATGGCCAGGGATGGATCAGACTGTTTCTGGCTGCTCCCTCCTTCACTACTCAGAGAGCAGCTACTTCCCTCGAAAGAGATCCTGTGTTCTACTCCGACCCTGTTACCAAGGACACAGTGACCCTAGAGTCCCGATGTACTCGAATCAGCATCCTGCTTCCTGACTGTACTCAGCCCCAGGGGCTCCTCCAGCTGCCACCATATGCTAGGCTCCGGCCCCCCAGCAGATGGCCAGGCAGACTTTGGCACAGTCCCTAGGGCCTGCCATCATTCTGCCTGACTCTGACTTGGAAATGGGAAGGCTCGTAGAGGTCCTGTCTGAGTCCCCTGCCAGATCAGATTCCCAAGGGCTGACAGGTATGCCTGGCGACCTTTAACAAGCCTCTGACATCTTAGGGACCAGTGTGATGTGTAGAAAAAGCTAGAGTATGAACACTTAATGTCTGCCTGCCCCTTTTGAGGTCCAGCATCTCTATCTGTAAAAGGGGATGAAAAGCACATAAATGCTATTTGCAAGGTTTTGAAGAAGATGTGTTACGCTGAGTATGGGTGAGTTTTGAACAAGTCATCACTAGGCTTTGCGTTTTCTTCCCGGTCTAGAAAGTGAATCAAAGAGAAGGAAGGTGATGAAAAACAGATACAGAATTTGGCTGGTTGGCTTTCCTTCTCAAGAATCAGAAGGTCCAACAATGAGGGTGGTGCCTGTGGCTCTCAACTAGGGTTCAGGCCCTCTTATTGTTTGGACTCCCTGGGTCACCTCAGAGAGAGCTGTCATGGCGGGAGGAAAGCTGAAGGCCAGGTCATTTCTGAGAGAAAACAGCTGGGAGAGCACCTCTCCCAGATATGGAGCATAGGTCCTCAAAATAAATAAGTAAATAAGTAAATAAGTAAGTAAGTAAATAAATAAATAAATAAATAAATAAATAAAGTTTGTTTATTTATAAACAAGGTGTGGGAAAGAGGGAAATTGTTTTGTGCAATGATCCTCCCCACTGTACCCAAGGCAGATGGACCTGTGCTCTATAAGAAAGCAAGTTGAGAATGCAAGAGGGAGCAAGCCAGTGAGCAGGGTTTCTTCATGGTTCCTGCTTCAGGTTCCCTTCTGCTGAAGTTCCTGACCTGAGTTCCCTCAGGGATGGACTGTGACCTATAAGATGAATGAAACTTTTCCTCCAAGTTGTTTTAGATTAGAGTATTTTATCATAGCAACCGAAAGCGACAGCATCCTTTCCTAATGATGAGGCCCACAACCTGTATGCCAGTGGTTCTCAACCTGATCCTCGGAGGGGCCTCGTGTTATATGTCCTGCATTCCAGATATTACAATTCATGAAAGCAGCAGAATTATGAACTATGAGGTAGCCACAAAATGATTTTATGGTTGGGGGGGTGTCACCACCACATGAGAAACCATATTTAACCATATTTAAGGGTCACAGCGTTAGGGAGGTTGAAAACCACTAATCTATAGAGCCATGAAATCTCACTCTAAGATACCATCTCTCAGTCAGCCCATTCATGTCTTAGGAGAGGAAGCACCTTGACCTGTTGGAAGTGAGGGCTGGTACTGGGCTACTCCTGGCTTGGCGCTGCTTGCTCACATCTGGGCTTCTGTTTCCTAACTATGACTTCTCCCTTATGGAGTATGGGAGGGCCCCAGTGTTTAATAAATGTTTGAAGTCTAGAACCAGGTCCAGAAGCTAGTGAGTCCACCCCATGTTAGCTATTGCTAGTGCCCTATCTGGGTAAATGCCCCATGGGTCATATTAGGGATGGAACAGGATGTCCTCACTGTCAACTTGACATTCTTAGATACAAACTTGTACATTCCAGAGCCACAGTGGCCTAAGCTCCAGGGAGTAGGACTTGGATCAGGTGGCTGAGGAGGGTGAAATGTCTTACCTGTTGCTTCTACCATTCCTTCTAGGATGACCACAACTTCAAACTCCTCCTGTTCCAGCTGAGCCCGAGACATCTCCCAGAAAGGGCTCTTCTCATTGATCTCATGGGAGATGATGAGCGGGGACACCAGGAAGAGACGGTCATCACCAGTGTCAAAGCCCACATTAATGTCTGTCTGGTTCAAGGGTATGAATTCCCCTTCTTTGGTCTGCCGGGACTTGATAAGCTTGGCACGGATGGAGGCTTCCACTATGTGGGAGTTTCGGAGGTCCCCTACCCGGAACATGAGGCACAGCTTCTCATCCCTCATGGAGATGACGGCGTTGTTGGAAAACATGAGGGTCTCTGCTCTCTTCTTTGGCTGGCTGATCTTTACAAACATGCAGCCCACCATGAAGGCATTAACAATAGAGCCCAGGATGGCCTGCACCAGAAGGAGTACGATCCCCTCTGGACACTTCTCAGTGATGACTCTGAAGCCATACCCAATGGTTGTTTCTGTCTCGATGGAGAACAGGAAAGCAGACACAAAGCCACTGAGGTTTTCAACACAAGGGATCCACTCTTGGTCGCCTACATGGTCCAGATCACCTCGGATGTAAGCAATGAGCCACCAGATGAAGCCAAAGAACAGCCATGTGATGGTGTAGACCAGGGTGAAGACCAGGAGGTTGAAGCGCCACTTGAGGTCCACCAGGGTGGTGAAGAGGTCACTTAGGTAGCGGTAGGTTTCCTGAACGTTGCCGTGGTGCACGTTGCACTTGCCGCTCTTCTCCATGTAGCGCTGGCGCGGCTTCTTGCCTTCTGCCAGCAGGCGAGTGCGGTCTGTGGCTACGGGGATGTAATCCCGTGCCTGTTTGGGAATCTTCTTGTGATCCCGGGGAGTGACTCCTATCTCCATGTCCTGGTTCATGGCATTCCTAGAATCACCGGCCATAGCTGGGATACAGGGAATTAAAAGGACACTATCATTAGTGAAGTACCCTGTTCTGAATAGTACAGACTTGGAACTGGAAGCTATTCCCTTCTGGGGACTCTCACGGGATTGCCATTTCTAATTAACACAACAACCTTCTGGAGTTAGAGATTGCAATCCCCACTATAAACCGTGTGCATTTACTTTTTAGTTTTTTTTTTTTAAAGATTTACTTTTAAATATTCTGTAGGCATGTTTTGCCTGCATATGTATGAACAGTGTGTACATGCCTGGTGCCTATGGAGCCGGGAAAGGTTTCAGATCTCCTGGGAATGGAGTTACAGACAGTTGTGAGCTGCCATATGGGTGCTAGGAATTGAACCCAGGCCCTCTGCAAGAACAAGCGCTCTCAACCGGTGAGAGATTTCTCCATCCCCTCATGAGGATTTCTAATAGTTTGTTAAGATACAAGGTCCTCAAGTGCAGGATTCTGTGTCAATTTGTTTCTTGCTACATTCCGAACACCCAGAGTAGACCACCTGATATACACTATGGTTCAAAAGCGCTACTGTATGAGGAATGGAAGGATGGGTAAGAAAGCAGAGAGGTGACCTTAAGAGTGTCTGAAGGCTGATGTTGGATTCCTACTTACCTGGCCCCAAGCCTGTGCTGTCCTTTAGAGCCCCATCTCCCCTTTTTTCTCTGGTATCCTTTTAGCAGCTGACAGAAAGGAAAAGGCAGCATGTGTCTGGTTCACTGAGTGAGGTCACTCTGGCTGTCTGAGTGGGGAGCCTGGCCGTCTGATAACTTATTAAAATGACAAACCACTGTGTAGATGCACCCTTGAAAAATCTGATCCAGTTAGTCCTGAGAGATTGAGATGGATGGGATATTCGTACCTCAAGGCTTTCCAAAGGACTGCTTTTAGAGGGCATGCCACACTTCAAAGGGACACATGGGGACTTGGAATATTCTATTTCCTTCCTGAGATTCTCCTCAAACTTAAAACGCATTGAGAGACTCTGATAAAGATAGGAAAGATTGTGATCCCCTATTACTGAAAAGAGCTTATTCATGGGCAGGAATTGAGCTAAGAAATGTAGCTCCGTTTTCTTGTTTAATCCTACCACAAGTGACTAGATAGTTACATTTTGTCCATTTTATTTTATTGTTTTTAAAGTTTTTGTTTGTTTATACTTTATTTTTGAGACAGAGTCTCAGCTGGTTGGGAAGCTGGCCTCAAACACATGTCTTCTCCGTGAGGCTGCCGGTGCTGGTATGGCTGGGGTATGCCATCTTGCTGAACTTATCTGCCCCCCTTTTTTTTTCAGTAGAGGAAATGATGCTCAAAGCAGCATGTGGCCAATTTAGGTTTGGAACCTGGCTTTATCTTGCTCTAGCCCAGAGGCTCAATCCTAAAGACATGGTGGCGTTCTGTGGTTCAAGCGCCGGATAACGGACTGCTACTTTAAGAATTTTCTTTGAGCTATGATCCTGGCTTATGACACCACAGGGAATTCTTCATAAACAAGCTTTCCTGGGTTTCACAAGAATACCCTTTCCCTGGGGTATAATTCTCCCAGGCCTTCATTTTCTTTGTTGCGCTGACTGGGAAACAAAGTGTCTTGACAGCTCTGTGACCCTGTTAAGTAAAATTTGTCTCTTGCAGTCTTGAATCCAGGCACACACCGTGGATTATTCACCCTGGGGTTTGGTATGTCTCTCTTTGGAATCTGCTTGAGGGTAGTCCCTTGTGGGAAGTTCCCTAACATGGGTTTGAGGACTTTAGGGAACTCCTGGGAACTATTCTAGTGAGTGTGGTATAGATTGTAAGGTAGCTGACTAGAAATTAGCAGGCATGGTGGACTTGAGGGCTAGACCCCTTCTTTATAATCAACATCTTGTAAAACCTAGGTCAGGAACTATAGGACTCCAGTTATTAGTCAGAGGTAAAAAAGAACCTAGTCAAATTTGGTTTTTTAATGAGACATACTGAATTCCCTGAACACATTTATTTATAACAACTTAAAACTGGTTCCAGGACTAGCAGCATGCATTCTATACATACCAATGCCAGCTCCTTTAAGAGTCAGTCAAAATTAGCCCATCAATCATCTAGACAGGAAAATACTCCTTGGGAAAGTGGTTGTCCTTATCTTTGGCTTTCAACTTGACACATTCTAGAGCCAGCTGAGGACAGAGTCTCCACTGAGACATGGCCTACATTAGATTGTTTGGCTATGTCTGTAAGAGGTTGTCTTGGCTGATGATTGATATGGAAGAGCATAGCCCACTGTGGGCAGACCTATTCCTACGCGTGTGGGTCTGAGCTGTATAAGAAAGTTAGATGAACATGAGCCAGGGGGCAGGCCAGAGAGTGAGCCAGCAATCAGTATCCTTTTGCTTCAAGTTCCTGTCCCAAGATCCTGTACTGATTTCCCTTAATGATAGAGGATGATCTGCCATTTTATAAGCCAAATAAACCCTTTCCTCCCACAAGTTACTTTTGCTCAGAGTATTTTATCAAAGCAAAATATACAAAACTAGATAGCTGTCTATTTCAGAGCCACTGGAAATAGTGTGGTCCGTCTAAAACATAAATTGGTACCATATTATCTTTGGTCATCATTCATTCTCGCCTCTTGAGGGTGTCCCATGTTGCTCTGTAATAAACCCTGTCCTTCCAACTCTATTCTCTATGTCTTATGTAAATTCTTTTGGAAGAGGTCACAGGGCTATAGAGATGAGTGAGGACAAGAGCAAAATAACAGTGACATAGACCAGTGAACAAACTGTCCCATTGTCCAACCAAGGTATTTTTTGGCCATCTTGAGAAATCCTGTGAGTCTAGCGCATCTTTTCCTTTGCTACCTGGGGTGGCTACAGCAATTTCAAGGTAACCTTTAAAACGTCGTATTGAAGAGTCATTCCTTCCAAGGGCCATCTGTCTCAGACATCCACTGGCCATTTCCTACTCTGCATGCAGCCACCTGCTCCCTGCTCACAAATGTGGCAGTTACAAAGATAAATGAAACAAGAAGGGAAATGTTTGGACCATCTTTACGGAGTCCTACATAGGATTTTGTTTTGCCCACTGGTTGAGTCTCTACCAAAAATCTGACCAGGGATTCCTAGAGCTGGTAAAGTATGCTGGTGACCCCAGAGCCCCTGTGCTCCTGGGGACCCAGCTGTGATAGCCCACACTGTGCTCCAACCAAAGAGCTGTAGTGAGCTCTCGCAGCCACACATGCTGGTCAGGGGTAAGGCAGGGCCCTGAGAAGGAGTTGTGAGCAGGGCACTTGGGACAGTGTGTTCTGCCCTCAGCAACGCTGATTTTCTGTACTGTTTCCTTCCTATTTTTAAAAACACTTCATGCCTTCTTGTAGGACAGGGCCCTGTGATGTATTAGCAGCAAGATGATATTTTCTAGGACACCTCCTCCCAAATCTGAAAAAGGTTTGCTCTCGGGGAAGGCTGCATAATTCTGATTTACGAGCCATGTATATATACCTAAAAGATTCCTTGTGGCACCCAGAGTCTGCTAAGTTATATAGTCATCTTGGTTGGGTTAAGTAAACCCGTAGGTCATGAATGAGGCCCAACTTTGGACTTATCTGTGAGGGTGTTTTTAGAGAGGTAAACCTGAAGAGGGAAGACTCACCCTCACTGGGGACAGCAGTAACCCATGGGCTGGAGTCCCAGATTGGATTAAAAAGGGAACGGCGAAAGCAAACTAAGCCTTTTCCTGATTCTCCATCTGCCCAGATGTGAACAATCTGTCACAAGCTGCCATTCCTTCCAGCTGTGCCTGCGGCCATGCCTTCTCTGCTTAATGGGCTACACCATCAAGCCTTGAGCCCAAGCAAACATTTCCTCCTTTAAGTTGCCTCCCATCTGGTGTTTGATCACAGCTACCGAGGGTATAGGACTTGGATTTGAGCTCAATATGCACATACTTGCTCTGTGGGCCATTGAAAAACAGTTTTATCTGCCTCAGTTTCCTATGCTATGTATCTCAGCGACTATTTTCTGGCCCCCTTGCCTGGAGGCAATTATGGAAAACCCTAAAAAGGAAACAAATATAAGTAAAATGCAGTCCTGTGCCACATAATAGTACTATAATCAACAGCAGACTGCATATACATTGCTGGTCCCCTAAGACCACGTCACCTAGTAATACAGCCTGCACTTGGCCACCTTAATTTGTAAAAACAAGCTCTGCAAAATTACCTCGTGGTGCATTTTCTTTAGTCTGTGTCTCTGTGGTTAAGCTGTGTGACTTTAACTGTATATATTTATAACCTCTCCTTCCTTGAATTTAATTGTAATGCAATGTTCAATTATCCCAAATTTTAAGCACACTGAGAGAAGAAACATCTGAAATTCAAGTACCTGAATTTTCTGTGGCATTTGCAGTGTGGGCATTAAGCTGCTCGATCATGGAGCCATCACCGCACAGATTTCTTTAAAAGATGAGTGCACCCTCATCCTGGAAAATCCCGGCCTCCCATGCGTGTGTGCCAATCAACTCAAACAGATTTTTTAGGGACAATAGCAGGTTCTAGGATCAATTCAATTAATTCAGTGAGTGTTAATTGAGGAACTGCTACAGCTCAACCCCTGGGAACTAGACATAAAGCAGTGAAGAAGGTAAACACAGGCCCAGCCTGCTGGTACTTCACATTTTAGCCCTGATTCTTTGAACCCACAGTGTGTACAGAGCTGTGTGTAGCAGAGAGGTAGAAACAAAGGCAAAGCCTGCTAGAGGCGTGCTGTTCTCTTTAAGGCTCCAACTTGAGTGAATCCTATTCTACCTGGTCACCCTGCTACCGCTCTTGTCTTTTGGCGACCCCCTGTGCCTTTGGATGGGCAGAATTACTAGAACATGATAAAAGGTCTCCACAGAGCCAGCTTCAAGCCCAGCAAAGAGGGATATTCCCTTTGATATAAAACACAAGTGGAGAGACTCAAAAGAGGCCAAATCAACGGAGTTGTATTTGAGATGGTACAAGAGTGAAACTGA